AGCCATCGATTGATGAGCATTTTGTTGTGCTATGCGACCTTCGTTCACAGCCTGAAGATATCTTGGGCTGCCTTCAAATTTTTCCACATCAGCTCTGAAGTTCTCTGAGTAATTTGTACGAATTTTCAAATCGCAATTCTACTTCAGTTATCTGAATCTTCGTGATTTCTATCATTGACAAGTCAATTTATTATGTATTATGCCGATCATCCTTATCAATTTAAAACGCAAACGCTTGGTCTGGGATAAGATAGAGATTCAACAAATTTCATCACAACAAAATATTGGGGTTTATATTATAATTCAGACCCCGCCGTGAAATTCTTCGTTCGTCACAGATGCTATCCCATACATGCAATCATTAGAACGTTGAATCATTTAGTAATAAGAATAAGCCGAAAAAAAACGAGTTGTTTATTAACCTGCGCCAGAAGCGTTTGAAGATATCCGGCGCCACCAAGATGGTATCGAGGTGCCCTGAGACTGATACCTTCACCAATGCAGACAGATGAACGATTCGATGGTGTTAAAGAGAGCACCATCAGTTCACCTTAAATTGAATTTTGAAACTGATTTGGAGTATTGCTTTGGATTTTTCCCAATGAGAAGTGAGGAGCAGCTCTAGAACAGTGATTCTCAACCTGTTTTGCTCCGTGGACCCCCCCCCCCAGAAAATTTTAAGATCCCCTCGTACTCCCTACCTTACCTCGCACGCCCTTCCACACTCCTCACTCACCCCGTTCCATCGCATCCACCCTCGCACTCGCTCTCACCCACCCCCCTGTCGGGCCCCCTGGCATGCCTTCGGACCCCAGGGGTACGTGGACCTCAGGCTGAGGATCCCTGCTCTAGAATAAAGTTGTTGCTCACATCAGGCTTTGTCAGGTCAGCTGTAGAAATCGCTCGGTTATTTGCATAAATACTTGCAAACATTTATGAAGAACATCGAATTTATAAGTGCAGAAAGAAAGGATTCATCAGAAGCCGTCATATAGGAGCACATTCATGAAAGGAAATTGAGGGAATTTGGTCGCACTGAGAGAGAATTTGATGGCTCAGAAAATGTGAGTATCTGGAGGGGATGAGAATTGAGCGAAAACGCTCGGAAGACAGAATTCAAGTGTATCGCTAGAGAATCAGGTTCTAGGAATATGATATGGGATAAGCAATGTGATAGACAGGCGAAAGCGGGTTTCCGGTGTGCTTCAATGTGATACGGAATTACTGGAATACCTAAAGCCTTAATGGATGGTGGTGACTGTAGCAATAGCATCTCCCAACTGTTGTTTATGTCGATTTCATGCCATCTCTCTTGAACTGCTTTCATTTCTTCACTGAACGGATCCGACGGAACGTATGGTGGCGTCGGATTCAACGGACTTTCATCCGAACTCATCTGAAATCAAATACTTTATCCGATACGTACTGTCAGGAGCAGTTGAAAGTGCTGATATAGACAGAAATATTTTCGGACGGATAGACAAATCTATAATCTTCTGCCTAAGTTACGGCTCGCAACAGCTAATCATAAACACTAAATTAGAACTGTGAGTAAAAATACATCATTTGAAGTTCATGCTGGTGGGCATTCTCGTGAAAATTTTAAATGACAGCAAACTTGCAGGTTGAAATGGACAAAAGAACTGTTTTGAACTGCTTTCAAAACGATGTTGCTTGGAATGATAAGCAATGACGGTTTTGTGTCTATGGATGACAATGTGAGAGACAAGCGATAGGGGAGGGTATGTGAGGTGAGTAGTGATAAACTCTGATAACGGCAATAATAAAACGTAGCGTCGATTGTGCATGTAAATAAGATTGGATACAGTAGTTACGAATTGAAAACAGTGCACTTTTGCATAAGAAAACGTTATTGTGTTACTTGCGATGAATTGAAATCGCATTGTAATGTTGATAGTTCTCCTCTTTCGCTCTTTAACTCAAAAAATCCATAAGACGAACGAAAACAAAAAGCAATAATTTCAATATAACGTGGCCGTTCAAAAACACTATGACTCCAATTGATTCAGTCGAAAGCAAAAATTAATCTGAACAACTTGGACACATTAGAATAATTGCTATCATTCAACTGATCCAATTGAATAGACAAACATTCGAGACAACCTACCTGAGCACCTCTTCCCACCCAGACGTTGATTGTCTGAAGCGCTTCAACCATAAGATCTCGTTCAGCACTTCAAACAAAATCGAAATATTATTTGTTGCAATTGTATAAATTTAACGACGCTGACGATGAGTGCGTGAATAAAATTCAAACTGAATTTTATTCACGCATTGATTCTTCGAATCCAACGACTAGACGAGCACGATCACG